CGCTAGTGCTGGTCCTCCAAATGATCACACTGTTAATGGCCCCATGAACACTGTACCACCGCTAGTGCTGGTCCCCCAAATGATCACACTGTTACCACCGCTAGTGCTGGTCCTCCAAATGATCACACTGTTACCACCGCTAGTGCTGGTCCTCCAAATGATCACACTGTTACCACCTGGTCCCCCAAATGATCACACTGTTACCACCGCTAGTGCTGGGCCTCCTATGCCCGGCCCACCATCACCACCACTGCTACTGCTCACTAACCTGCTAGCTGGGAGGCCATGAGGTAAGCAGCCTGTACGTGCTGAAAGCACACAGCACCTGGTGGGCAGGTCAATGTGCCTCAGTGTGACAGTGTGCCTCAGAGAGGACCTGGAGGCAGGTGAGCAGAGGGGTGTGACAGGGGGCATTTTCTGGCAGCCTCTAGTGACTGCATGGAATAAATGCCATCCCTCTCGGGGTTTCCTTCATTCCCCGAGCCAGCCATTAGGCCCTGGGGCATCTTCCTCTAAAGGTTTTCAGTCTCACCCCTCTCTTTTCATTCCTACCAATAGCGTTACACCATCCGCATTGCATCACCTCCCTGGGCCAGCTGTCTGGACCACCAAGGTCGGCCCTGACGGGGCCCCTGTCCTCCTCAAGCCTCTGCCCCCAGGTGCCAGGACTCATCTTCAAACAGCCTTGTGAGCTGTCAGTTTGTCTTTGTAAAGCCTTGTGATGGTTCCCTGTTGGGAAGAGGGTACAGGTGCCACCTCACACTTGGGGGGGGGGCGGCCCACCCCACGTACCTGGCCTGCCTCCTGCTTCCTGGAACCCATGCTTCATTCTGGCATCTCTCCTCAGGGCTTCTCAGATGCCAAGTCACTCAGTAGGTCACCTGGAAGAACAGCGATACCCTCTCCCTTCTAAAAGGTTCCCTCCCCACCCAGCTCCAAAACACTCCATCCTGCCGGGCCCACACTGACCACCTACCCAACTGCATTTCCCTAAAAGTCTTCAGCACTTATTGCTAAACCTCGCCTTCTGCCATGTATCAGACCTTTCCCTAAGAGGAGTCTTAACCCCTTCCTCTCTGCCATCTTTCCTCCCAGTGACGGGGGCTAACACCTTCCTGGGACCAGGAATGTTTCTAGGGCTCAACGAACACTCACAGGATGGATACACACTCAAACCTTCAATTCCCCTGCAAGCAGCAATCAGAAAGAAATGAGTTAAAGCTGTTGGCTGCTGGACCTCAGGGAGTAAACCTGCCGCTTGTTCTGCTCCATTTTTGCCAACAAAGAAAGTGTCCCCTCCCCGGGCCGCAGCCCTGTTCCTTTGATCTGCTTCCCTCTGAGGATGTGCCAGTGGCCAGAGAAATGCCAGGAAGTCTGCAGGGACCCAGCCAAGAGAAAGGAGCCTTCCAACCCAACCCAGGCATGGGCAGCAGAGAAGAAAAGAAAAGAAATGTGAAGAAAAGGTCTTGGAACGTGAAGATAAGAGAGGGCCAGGGCCAAAATAAAACTGTAAAACCTAAGAGGTTGGCAAGAATTATTTTATTTTATTTTTTTTTGGCAAGAATTATTTTTGAAATTACAAGGAGCACAGTGTAATTCTGGACACAGGGCTGATAAGTTACACAATTCATATTGGAATGTGGTAGATCTCGGTATTTAAAAAAAAACCACAACAACCCAAATTCAGTGACCAGCCTCGCTACTGTGAAAGCAGATTATGGCCACTTCTCCTTTTCTCACTGTGAAATGGTAAATTTATAAAATAAGTATCAGAGAGCTGGTGCTGGCTTGATGCTAAACAGGGATACCTAAGGACCCGGCCGAGCCACACGACTCCTTGGTAAATGGAAAGACGTCGGCTCAAGGGCAGCAGTGCAGAAGCCGCTCGTCTCTGCAGTGCTGCAGGAGGGAGTCTTAGATGAGCCAGGCTCTGACGCCCCCAGCAAGTGCGTTACTTGCTATCCAGTGCCTCCGTGAATCTGCATGCTACCGAGGGCCTCCTGGGCTGCCTGTCACCCACTGAGGTGCAGGCCAGATCTCTGATACTCAGGGGAGGCAGGAGATAGTGGGCAGAGAGACCAGCCTGCAGGGCAGGAGAGCAGAATCCCTAAGAAAGGAATCCCCGTGAGCGGAAGAGTGGCCTGGCACAGACAGGACCTGAGGGTCCAGAAAGAGGGGCCGGCCAGGCAAACAACGGCCAGTGCCTGGGAATAAAAGTGCCAGTCAGAGAAGGTCCCCATAGTGTAGGTCAAGGTCAAAAACCTGATTTTCCAGATAGTAGTGAGGTTCTTACACCACAGGATCAAAAAGCCAAAAGTCGCTCAGATAGGGCCCAATTTCAGGACTGGTGGAAGGCAACTGATAAAGTGAGATGGAACTGCAGGTCCCAAGAACATCACTGCTGAAGGCTGGCGGGCTGCCCAGGGTTCCCAGGAGCAGGAGTGTCTCAGTGGCCTCCGTCTCCATCCTGCGGCACAAAAGTCTAATGAGCCGAACCCACAATTTAGACAGAAATATCCCTGGAGTGGAGGAAGTGGGCCTCTGAGACCACCCTGTCCCTCTGTTCTAACTCTTGCTCACCAGGTCAGAGATGAGTCGTCGGCCTCTTGAGGACATTCCCCCACACACACAAGGGCCCCCGAGCAAGCATGCTGCCAGAGACAACAGCCAGGGCAGCCGCAGAGTCTGGCTGTCTGGTGCACTGGCCACCTCTTGAACAATGGGGTGTATCTGACCTTATAACAATACATACCCACAGCACAACTCTGACCCTGCCAGCAGACAAGGGCTAAGTAACCATCTCAGTAGATGGATGAAGAGACAGATGGACAGGCAGGTGGATGGATGGATGGGTGGGTGGATGCGTGGATGTGTGGACTAAAGGATGGACTACCACTTTCATGAGCAAGCCATTTGCCAGCCAGATGCCATGTAGAAGCCCCTTGTTAGTTATTCATTCAGTAGACAGTGTTCAGAGGGATGAGGGTTCCAAGCAGGCCATGCCTGGAAAAGCTTACAATGGGCCCGGGAGCCAGAAATATAAGTGTGAAGAGATGCTGTGCTAGTGTGGGGGGTTGTGAGTCACACGCAGCTCCCCACGGGAGGGGCGTGAAGGAGGAGCCGCGTGCACCCGTCTTGGGAGACAAACAGACACGTAAAGAGGCCTGAGTGTGCAGAGATCCACGTGGGAAGGCATGCCGGGAGTTAGGGGCGAGGCCCTGGGCTGCACGAGGCCTCCCTCAACCAGCTCTAAACGGAAACGTCCACCCATTCGGAGCGGGTTGACGGGGGTGGTGGTGGTGGTGGTGGTGGTGGTGGTGGTGGTGGTGGTGGTGGTGTGTGTGTGTGTGTGTGTGTGTGTGGTGGGGTGGTGCAGAGGGAGGGGGAGAAAAAGTCAATAGTTATTTCTGAGTAGGAAAGAGACATGATTCTAAAAAAGACAATTCGATGGGGAAGAATCGTCTCTTCAACCAGTAGCACAGAAACAACTGGGTATTCACATGCAAAAGGCCGAAGCCGGGCCTCTCCAAGACTATTTACCTGGATGTGGCTTTTGACACCACCTGCCACAGCTGGCCCCTGCCACATTCCCTGGCCCTGAGGCAGAAACACAGATCAGATCGGACTCCACTTTACCCAAACTGCCTGCCTCTGGCCGGGCAGCATTTTTCTAGAGTCACCGCTTCCTGTGGTTTTCTCCTCACATCACTCACCTCAGCTTCCTCGTGGGTGAGAGTCCCCTGGGCCAGTCGGTCACGCCCAGCATCACCCCAGGACACTGAGGCCCTGGGCAGACCTGTCTCCCGTGGTCAGCGCAGGGGAACAGGGGCCTCCCGGGGGAACCGATGCTGGGCCTGCGTCGGGCCTGCGCCTCCCAGATGTCCCTCTCACCAGTCACCCTTCGGGGCTGTTCCCTGCGCAGGTACGACCACTGCTCGCCCGTGATTCCCCTCGAACCACCTCCCAGAGGCTCTGCAGCACATTCGCTCACGTGACCTGTAGCATAACTGAGTGCCACCAGAGCGGCTCTCAAGGGCCTAAAAATAACTAGCAATTTCAGCCTTTTAGAATATCAGTCCCCGGATGGAGAAAGCCAGAGACAACCACCCCAAAGACAAGCCTTGAAATCTCCCAACCTCAAGTTTATAAAGCAGAATAGGAAATCTGAATCTAAATAAAATTATTTTATTTTTTAAAAGATTTTATGTCTTTATTTATTTTTAGAGAGGGGGAGGGAAGAAGAAAGAGGGAGAGAAACATCAATGTGTGGTTGCCTCTTGCATGCCCCCTGCTGGAGACCTGGCCTACAACCCAGGCATGTGCCCTGATTGGGAATTGAACTGGTGACCCTTTGGTTCTCAGGCTGACACTCAATCCATTGAGCCACACCAGCCAGGGCTAAATAAAATTATTTTAAAAGATGCATGTGAGCAGACTGAATCCTACCTATGGCCTTTTCTTGTTTTCTTCATGTCACACATAAATCCTGCTCTTGGGCCTCCTCGGGACCAGGCCTCAACGGGTTTTACTGAGTGTTGGCCATTAAACGGTTATGCCTCAGCTGACACAGTGAATCTGGAAGAGAGAACGCTCTCTGTTCAGAGGTGGCTTTTCGCCTACTTACCCTGGTGTTTGTGTTGGCTGGAGTAGAGACCCACATAGAAAGGGGACTTGGACCAGAATGCCAGCGAGATGGGGGTGGGGCAGGGGGAGGATGGGCAAAAGTCCTCAGAGCAACAGAAAGAACCCTCCCAGGAAAGGGCTCCAGAAAGGGTCGTGAGGCACCACTGGGCCCGGCCCCCGACAGCGGCTGCACAATGCGCGCGTCTTTCGGTTTCCCAGTAAAAATGGCCAGGCCAGCAGAGAAGGGAAAACACCATGCAGCACTAAATCCTTCTCTCCTGGGCTGGCGGTGGGCCCAGCAAAGCCCTGAAGGCCACGTGTTTGCCCTTCCAAAGGTCAGCGCCGCCCTGGGCAGCCTAAGCACGAGTGACCGCACGCCCACGGTTGCCAGGGGCAGGCCCACTGCTCGGCCCTCTCTCCCACCAGGGCGGCCGGGGCAGCCCTGGGTGCCCTGCTTGCAGGCGCTGCTGGCCACAGTGAGGGAGGGACAACCCACAAGCCTAGGTCTTCTTCAGCGAGTTCCCTCTGAGGCCCACTGGTCCACAAGGCACTTTTTCTAGCCCGGGGTCTGCCTGGCATGCCCTGGACTCTCCAGAGATGTTTGCTGTTAGCTCCCCAGGGTGGAAATGCCAGATTGGGAGTGGGCAAAGCACTCTCACTAACAAGCCCCGACGTCTGCGGTTTACCTTGGAAAGAGAAGACACTGCTGAGTGGTTGCTGTCCTTCATTTATTTCAGGTAACCAGGGCTTGGGGCTGGGGCCACAGCCCAGGGCAGACATGTGCACAAAACAGCCTTTCTGCAAATGCAAGAAAAATCTGGACAGGGTGCACATGTGATGGTCGTGGATGCTGGGGGGGCGGGTAGAGCGAGGTGGGCCAGGGATGTCCGAGCAAGAGGCAGGGCCTCCACGGACCATCCCGACCCTCTGTGGGGTGAGGTGGTCTTCGAGAGGAGCATGTGGCTAAATCAAATGTGCCCCTCGGTCCTGCTCACAGAGCACTGCTAAAACTCACTGCATCACTTTCAACATCCCTGCCTCAAAGGCAAAAGAAGAGTGAAAATTAATCTGATTAAAGTTGGCAGCATTCACAGGAAGGACAATTCTGGGATTTTGCCACATGTCTCCTCCTCCGCCAGCTTTGTGGGTGAAGGGACGGGGTTTGGAGCCCAGCGGGTGAGAGCTGGAGTTCTGGCTCTGTCACTCAGCTGTGTCACTGTGGGGACATCTGCCAAAGGGGCAAAAGTGTCACTTGCCTTACAGAACTCCTACCAGGAAATGAGAGAAGGAGGTAAAGGCTGCAGAGTCCCCGGTGGACATGGAACACTCGGCCAGTTAGCCCCTCATACCTTGTGGGCCAGAGCCCCGCCTGCCGACCTGATGGGGTCTGCAGACACCTGAGGGGGAGGAGCCTGGACCTTTCTCCTGCACCCCCAGATCGGCCCCCCAGAGTCCTGGCAGCTGTGCTTGCAGGTGGGGAGTCCAGGGAAGGAGGTTCCAAAGCCCCACCACACCCAGTTGCCAACCCGCTTCATAGCTGTTCTTGTCTTATCCCATGTGGACCTGGCAGCAGCCCTGTGAGGCAGGGAGGTGACGGGCTGCTATTTCTGTCTTCCTTGATTCAGAGGTTCAGACAGGGACTGCGTGCTGGGTGAGGTCACACAGGAAGTCACCCTGAGCGCTGGGTCTCAGCCAGTCCAGTGTTCTAACAAGACAGCTAATGTTTAGTGAGTACCAGCACATTCTACCGCATTCCCTTGCAAACACAGCTGCCAGGACTCTCGGGGGGCAGATCTGGGGGTGCAAGAGGAAGGTCCCACTCGGCTCCTTCCCCTCAGGTGCCTCTGTAGGCCCCCATCAGGTCCACAGGCGGGGCTCTGGTCTCCGGGGCCCACAGTTCCCAGCGTGTGACTGGATGTTCAGAAGTGCAGCAGAAGTGACATCATACCCGTTCCAGGTGTAGGCCTGCAGAAGGCCTGGAAGCTTTTGCGCTTGTGTCCTGAGGGAAGCCAGCCATCTGGAAATAAGGCCAACGACAGAGGAGGAGACCACCGAGCTGAAAGGAAGCCCGGCCAACCACACAGAGAAGCACAGAGGGTCCCAGGAGGATCCTCCCCCTCACCCTCTCTTTTTCTGGTCCTGCTTCTCTGCAGAACCTGCCTAATCCAGGCTCCCTGAGGCCAGGAGCCAAATACGATTTGCCTTTGCCCCTCAGTCTACACAGTGTCAGGCTCAGACTCTCAGAAGCAGAAGACTGGAAAGCACCCAAACATCCAGAGAGAGGGAATGGGAGAGTAAACGAGCGGACAGTCACACGACAGAATAGTGTGGACTCAGAAAAAACTAAGAAGGCTCCCTACTCACTGACACAGACAAGGTCTACAGAATGCGGTTAGGCGGAAGGAGCAAGGTACGGAGCGGCCTTTTCAGCGTGACCCCTTTCACGTACGAAGGCGGGAAATTAGGATGTATTCCTTGCAGTGCCACACTGCGGCTATGTTTTTTAAGGAAAGGTCTTATTTATCTTTTACAGAGATGTACTGAATTATTTACGAACAAAATAATATGATGTCTGGGGTTCACTTCCAATTATCCGTGGATGGGGGAATGGACGGCAGAAAAGAACCAAGCTTGGCTCTGAAATAAGAAGTGATTCTTATTGTGATCCATTATGTTATTCTGTCTCCTTTTACATCATTTGGAATTTTCAATAATAAAATGTTTTTCAAGAAAGTGCCACCTCTAGGGAAGAAGCAGGGCGGGAAGGAAGAGGGTGGCTGGGGACAGAGGAAAAGCACTGCTTCCACACTCCACGGAACACCATGCTTTCTTCTTCCTCGTAATCGCTGAAGTGAAATTTACATAACACACTAATCATTTTAGGCATTTTTTAAATACATAATCCAGCCGTATTTAGTACGTTCGCATTGTTGTGTAACCAGCACCTCTATCTACTTACAAGTCATTTTCATCACGCGGAAAGCAAACACGTGCTTGTTAAGCCGTTACTCGCTGCTCCCCCATCTACCTGCCTCTCACCCCCCACCTCCCTGGCCCTGCAAACCACCCACCTGCATTCTGTCTCTGTGGCTTCACCTAGTCTGGGCATTTCATATAAAGGGAACCACCCAGCATGCGACATTTGTCCCCGGAGTCTTTCACGTAGCATGTTTTCAAGGCTCATCCAAATGACAGCCTGTGTTAGCACTTTGTTCCTTTTTAAGGCTGAATAACACGACTGTGTGGATACTCGGCTTTCATTGGTCCACTCACTGGTTGACAGACATCTGGATTGTTTCCAGAGCATATCTTTTCACTTTGACTTTTTTTTTTACTTTATTTTTTTAAAACTCTGTAAGTGTATTGCCTCTTCACGCAAATTTGAAAAGTTAAATTTCCATTACACAACAAATGTGGACCTCAGAGAAGGCTGGGGACACAGGGACAGACTCCTTAAAGAGTTATGAAGTGGGCAAAAAAATTAATCATTAAAATATCTAAAGGAAAAAGTGGGTAATAAATTTAATTACTTGAATTTGGGGTATGTGCTTACACCGCACAATTTTCGTACCCTGTTTAAGGACGAAAGCCCCCCTGGAGACCCTACCTGGAGTAAAACGCTGGGAGAATGGACAGCAAGTCCGGGCTGGATTGGAGGCGGACCGGGCTGCGAGGGTCTCCACCCCAGGTGAGAGCCGAGCCTTGTGTGATGACATTTCTTGCTCTCACAAACTGCCCAAGTTCCTTGTCTCCCTGACTAACTAACAGGGAGGCTGGGCTTCTATTTCCTGTGTCCACCCAGACCACTCAGAACCCAGGGAGCATTGGGCATTGAAGTGGATGCGTCCTGGCGGACGAAGAGCTGCACATCTGGGGACTCCGGGGAGGACTAGGGACACCTTCTGTGGAGGAGGCTTGCGCAGCGGAGCGGCCAGGGGCATCCGATCCCTGTTTGGTGCACTGCACCTCTCACGGAGAAGCCTTTGGAAGACCTGCATCTGCTGCTTTAAAACAAAAGGTCTATAAATAGTAGTTTAGGAAAAAGGACTCTGAGTGTGGAGTCATAAGGCACAGTTTTAGTTGTAGCTCTGACCCTGGGTAGGTTACCTGCCCATTTTCCAGATGGAAATAATAATTCTTGCTCCTCCCTGAATTCTTGGAATCCAGAGATAATTAGGGCTTTGAGTGCTTCTGAAGAGAGATGTCTGGAAACATAAGAGCATCCCGTGATTCCCGTGGCCTGGGTGGATGGAGTGGAGACTGAGAGAAGTCAGCATACATAACTGAGCTCAGAAAAGGCAGCTAGTCTTCTAGATTTTATCTAGAGGGAAGGCAAGAGAGTCTGAGAAGCTAAACAAGCTATACACTACCACTGTGAACTCATATTTACACAACTGTGTGTAGTCTATGGTCCCATTTGACCCTTGCCTCAAACCTGCAGGGATGGGGTTTTTCCCTTTCTGAAGAAGGAGCAACTGAGCCTCCAAGAAGAGCTCAAAGTGACTTGTTTGAATCCGGGATACAGCCAGGCCCCAGCCCATGCACAGTCCTGCTCTCCGCTGAGATGTGTCCAGGCGCAGCACCTGGGCCTGCTGGTTGCTAGTCAGAATTGGAGTTGCCCTGTGTCACTGTCTCATGCATCTGCCCCTTCAGCAGCATCTCCTAAGAGCCACATGGTGTTGAGCACTGCAGGTAAAGGTGGAATATGGAGCCGGGCTCTCAGGGAGCTGCTGGTGCTCCTCGGGTCCCTTTTATGACGTGTGATGGCAGAGGCTGCAGGACCTCCCCTCAATTTCCCTTCCCCCATTCTTTCTCACTAGCAGAACCTTGGGATACGTATTCAGCTAAAAAACTACCTTCCCCAGCCACATTGCATGTATGAATGACCAATAAAAACTGATCTCAGTTCTTCCTCCTTCTGGCCTGGAATGTGACTGTGATGGCTGGTACTGCAGCGACCATACCAGACCATGAGGTCACCTTTGAGGTGTTTTGAGTAAAAGAGCCACATGCAGAAGATGGTGGAGCAAAAAAGATAGAAGTGAACCAGGTCCCATGGAGCCCACACACCAGCTCTGACCAACCTATCCCCAGGCCTCTTTTATGCAAGAGAGAAATAATCTGTCTAAATAACCTTGGTTAGGGCTGGTCTCTGTTACTAATCAATACACATGGGTTGTTCTTTGAGTTGGCTGATGCATCCTAAACAGCAAAGGCTGCCGGGCTCTGAAAAGATGTGCGCTGACATTGAGGGGCACAGAGGCAGCCACAGCCCAGAAAACTACCGGGCAACTTCGTGTGCAGGGAAAAAGGGCATCCAAACCTCACGGTGGAGTCAAAGAACAAATCCTCTTGTCTGGATGCCAGTGAGAGGTCTGCATAAGCCCTCAGAGAGCCATGTAAAGGGGAAGGGGTGCAGTCCAGGGATGGGCTGTGTCCACCCAGCACTGAGGTCCCTCGAGTCTAAGGCACCTGTGGTGGGGTCTCTTGCCCCAACGTGTACCTCAGAATCCGGGGACAAGCTCTGCCTTCTCACCTCCACCTGTGTGACTTTCACACCCTGACCCCTGCTCAACTCTCCAGCCCAGCTCCTTGCCTGCCTCCACTCTGCTCAGAGTCTGTTTCCTTCCACGTGACTGAGTGGCCCCCACCCATGCACATTCTCACCACCAGGCTTTTGCATGTAGTGTTCCCTTTGCCTCTAGCACTCCTCTCCCCACCTCTGGGCCAGACTCCCCTGCATCCTTTGGTTCAGCTCTCAGCTTACTCAGCACTTCCACAAGGAGCCTTCCCTGACTCATCCAGAGGGATGGAGGCCCCTCCAGGGCCTTGCACCACAGCACCCTGCGCGTCTCTGGTGTGACAGTGTCTGCCCCACTGGTCTGTGCATCCCTCAGAGCAGGGGCTTTTTAGAACTGCACTGGAAGGGGACAACCATATGGCCCTCGGCACACAGCAGTGCCCAACACACAGTTGACTGCTGGGAGAACAGGACTCAGAATCTAAACGCCAACCAGCAACAAGCTTTATTGAACCCGAGCTTCCTCTGCTCTACATGACAAGTGTTCTTCCTCCCGACACTTGTTGGCTTTTACACTCTGAGAATCATGACATTCTTCCCTGCAAATGGACTGGTCACACACGCATTTCCTGGTGGTCCTCACTCTCCCTTCCTAGCTGGTGGGGAAGGGCAGGCAGGGCAGGGTTGGGTTGCTGCTGGCACAGATCCACTGTGGGCTCCCAGGCTGGCAGGGAAGACGCCTGGACCCCAGGTGCAGGCCAGGCGCTCAGCGGCACCCTCCCCTGGTCGGGTCCTGGTGCACCTCTACCTGCAGCGCCAGGCTCGGGAGACCCATGGGGCCTCCGCTGCTTTCATCATCAGCTGTTGCGAGCTGCGCTGGTCTTTGGAGGAGGGAGGTGCTGTGATATTTTAATTACAGGCTGTCTCCCCTGCTTTTAATGGCTGGGCTCTGACAACGTAGTACTTTAATCACATGGTGTTAAATCAAACCACTTTTTAAGTATACTGGTGAGGCTGGGTATTTAAAGGAAACCTGTTATGAAAGCTTTTCTAAAGCAAGTTAATTGAACTTTTTTGAAGTTCAGGTTTTCTGTTTGTTTATGAAGTTTATATTTAAGTGAATGTAATTCAGGTTTTCTGGACGCATGACACCATTCCCTCAGCCCAATCTCTCAGTGGTGCCCACCTCCCCCAAATCGAGTCTGACTTCCTACAGTCCTCACTCCCCTCTTCCCGGAGGAGTGCGCCTTTGTACTCGAAACTGTGCCCACTCTGGAAATTCTAAAAGAATGTGCTAGGGGTTCATTGTGCACCCGCTTCCCAATTCCTGTGTTGAAGTCCTCACTCCCAGGGCCTCAGAATGTGACCACGTCTGCAAGCAGTGCCCGTAAAGAGGTGATTAAGGAAAACGAGGTCATTAGGTCATTAGGGTGGGCCCTAATCCAACAGGACGGGTCTCCTTACAACAAGAGGAGATTAGGACACAGACCTACACAAAGGGAAGGCCCAGTGAGGGCACAGGAAGAAGACGGCTATCTATCTAAAGTCAAGGCCTCAGGGGAATCCAGACCTGGGACACCAGCACCTTGATCTTGGACGTCTGGCTTCCAGAACCGTGAGAAAATGAATCTGTGCTGGTCAGGCCCCCTGGTCTGCGGCACTTTGTTACGGCAGCCCGAGTGGGCTGTCACAGGAGAGCCAGGCAGTGCCCAGGCTGGCTGCGTGGCCCTGGGCCGGGTGGGGGTGGGTATAAGGATTAGAGGCAAGCGATGGGCAGTGTGTCTCCTGAGCTCACCTTCCTCCTCTTTGGTTCCCATCTGCATGGATGACGTCATTTACCCACCAGAAAAGGAGATTTCTCTCGCACTCCAGCTGCCCCCGAGGCACGGGAAGCCCGAGTGAGAAGGGGATCCTGACACCAACAGCTGGGTTTTTTTCTGGAATTAACAGTCTACTTTTTTTTTCTTTAAAACCTTGTCGCATGCATTCTTCAGGTTAAGACTCACAACAAACCTGTGAAGTAACCAGGATTACAGCTTCTTATCTTCATTTCAGAGACGGGGTAAACTGAGGCTCACCACAAGTGAGTGATTGATTGCGACCCCACAAGTCTCTGGGCAGGACCCCAGTCCCCTGAACTCACACCCACCTGCTCCAGCTCCCTCCCACTGTCACTGACGCTGTGAACACTCAAAAACACCACCACTGCCAGGTCACTCTCTGCTGCAAAACTTCCAACGGCTCCCAGCTGGGGACCACATCAAGCCCCCCCTTGCTTGTGCTCCCCCCTGCCCTTCTAACCTCTTGGCCCCCATCTTGAACTCCATTGTGAAAGACCATTCATGCAGCCCAATGGACACCAGCAATGCTCACATGTTACCACCGCAGCTTTCCCCACTTCTTTCCCACTAGTTCTAGCAGCCACCGCCTCCAGGAAGCCTTCCCTGAGTCCTCTGAGGTTTTTCCAAAGTGCTCTCAGGCCCGGTCACATGAGGTGACTCTAAACAGACTTGCCCTTATTTTGTTTGCAAATTGCTTAACCATGTTAGTCCCCCGGACGGGGAACACATCTTCCTGACAGCCCTGCAGGCCCAGGTACAAAGAACATACTCAGTAACACCTGCTGTTCTGTCGGAAAACCAGTAGTGGAGAGGGTACCCCTGCAATGTAAACATGTTCAAAAATAGCTGTTTACAGGCTCAGCTCCTCGAACAGAATCTTATTCTTCTCCGACTTCTGCCACATGCAAGATGCTGGATGTCCACCCTGTCTGACTGGCCGCAGGTGACACTATTCCTGCTGCTTCCCTCTGCCCCTGGACGTCCCAGCTGCCCCCACCATCCCTGCCCCTCCTCACACGGCTCATGATCCTGAAACCAAGGCCAACGTGAATGCAGGGGTTACTATTTAAAGAACTGTGGGTGTTCCTTTAAAGATGTCCCCTGGTTATTATTCTAAGACTAGCCGGCACCAGCATTTTTGTTTGTTTTCTTCACTTGCCATATTCCCAGCTCCTAGGAAAAAGTTTGGTATATAGTAGCTACTCAAAAATATGTGTTGAGTAATTTTGTTGACTAAATGATACCATTACCTTCAGCCACACCTTGAGCCAGGCAGGCCCCCGGCAGTTGGGTACTGTAAACCAAAGGAGAGTGCCCAGGAAGGACGTCGGAGGCATAACGCCAGTGTTGCTCATTTCTCCGAGGGTCTCTCTCCTGTCATCTACCCAGAGCTACCCCCCAGGGGCGTGCCTCAGCCTTCCCGAAGCTCTCATTTCCTTTTGATGAGACAAAGAACCGGAACTCCGACCCCCAAGGGCACCGCCTCTCAAAGAGGCTGGCTCCAAGAGCCCCAGCTGCTGTCCCAGCTGTCCCCTCCAAAACTGAGCAGCTACACAGGCTGGCTACCCACACAGCAGGGGAAGGAGGTCCCTGCTGGGCCGTGGCTGGAGGGCCTCCTCTCCGCCCCCAACCCCCGTGAGGGCAAATCCCCGCATGTAAGGAGATACCTGGGCCATGAACATATCAACTCTGGGGACTAGTTTTGGGTTTTACCTTCTCTCTCTTTCTTACCAGCTTTGGGGAAGACTATGAGGTGCCACCCACTGGCAGGGACCCGAAGGCGACCAGTAAGGAGAGGGCATTCTGCCAAAAGCAAACAGGAGGTGGCCCCTGCCTCGGATGGGTCCAGCACAGGGGGAGAAAAAGGGTGCATTCTCGGAAATTGCGGGAACATCCCCAGCGGGGCAGCTGCACCTGAAGGGTATAGTGCAGGAGGCTCCTGGATACGCCAAGATGCAGAAGATGCTGAGGTCTGCAAATCTCTGCCCTGTGCCAGGGTCAGAGGTGGGGTCTTCCCTTCTGCCCAGGGGATCTGAGCCCCCAGTCTCAGACCATGCCCTCCAAAGCCTCCCAAGCCTTCCTACATCACTGTGCATCAAGTCCAAGAGCTGGCTCCTGCGACCAACCTCCCTGCCTTTCTCCCCGCTTGCCCACTCCCCTCCAGCCCCTATTACCTCCTGCTGCTCCTCAAATGGACCACATTCCCCACCCCTCTCACTACCCCTACTTCCTGCAAGACTGCCCCTACCACCCAGACTCACGCTCCAGCCCCTCCAGACCCTGGCCCTGCTTTACTGCCCTTCAGAGCATGTACTCCTGTGCTTGTCCGTGGTGGAAAGCGCCACGAGGCTCCATCCGGCTCACAGCTGCACCCCCAGCGGCTAGAAAGGGGCTTGGCGTATTGCAGTATATACTGGCCAAACGAATGGGTAAACTCCCTCTTCCTTTGCATACCACACACTTCCCCTGCTGACTGGTATATTCCTGCATGTGTGTGTGTGTGTGTGTGTGTGTGTGTGTGTGTGTGTACCTGGTGACACTGAGAGGGGAGTGAGTGAGGTAG